CTGCTATGTCTACATGGAATAATACAGATGATACTAAGAATGAGCTTGCTGAACATACATTCTGGCTTCCTTTTAGTATGCTTTTGCTATCAAAGTTTATAGTCCCTACCTTCAGAAGAGTCAAAAGACAAAACAGAGGGCATCCATTTTGCTGATCTAGATAATGTCTGACGAAATATGACTCTGAAGCTTTCAACTGCATTGAAGGATAACAAAACCAGTGGGCAGTTTCCTGACATGGAAGAAGTAAAATGTGCCCAAGTTGCCCAGTTCTGCATAATACAGTAATTACACAAAACTCAGATTATAGCCTTTTTCTTGAGTCCACTCAATAATATCCTATAATATTTCCCTGTCTACTAAAACTCAAAAGCAAACTCAGACTAATACAAGCATCTTGTAGGCAGGCAGATATACAGATCCGAAGTTTAGAAAAGAGATCTAGGATGTAGATTGAGATTTAAAAAGTTATCAGCAAATGGGAATGTATGATAGGAATATATAAGATTATCAAGGAAAAGTATTTAGAGTAAAAAGAGGTCAAACACATGTAGGCAACACAGACATTAAGGAAGTAAGCAGAAGTTGTTAAGAAGAGGGAAGAGGCTGGGTGCAGTGGCTCAGGCCTGTATCCAAAAACCTGGGCCTCCCAAAGGGGTGGATTGCCTGATCTCTGTTGGAGACCAGCCTGAGCAAGAGTGAGACCCTGTCTCTACTAAAAATAGAAAAACTAGCTGGGTGTTGTGGAACACCTATAGTCCCAGCTACTCGAGAGACTGAAACAAGAGCATTCCTCAAGCCTAAATGTTTGAGGTTGCTCTGAGCTAGGATGGCACAACAGCACTCTACAGTCTACTCCTTTTTTTGAGACTGTCTCAAGGGAGGAGGGGGGGAATGAATAGGGAAGAGACCAAAAAGCAATGCCAAGAGAAAAAGGTGGGAGGAGAAAACAGGAAAGACTAGGATTATAGAAACTAAGAGAAGAGGGGGTGTCAAGAAGATAAGATAGTCGCCAATGTCAAATATTTGATATAAGTAAGTAAGGTCAAGTCCTATGGGAAATTGGGAGTTCACTAGAGACCTCCCTTAAAAATGTTTTGAAGGTTGGCTCGGCACCTATGGCTCAAGTGGCTAAGGCACCAGCCACGTACACCCAAGGTGGCGGGTTCGAATCCAGCCTGGGCCTGCCAAACAACAAGGACAGCTGCAACCAAAAAAAAAAAAAAATAGCTGGGCATTGTGGCAGGCACCTGTGGTCCCAGCTACTGGGGAGGCTGAGGCAGGAGACTCGCTTGAGTCCAGGAGTTGGAGGTTGCTATCAGCTATGATGCCATAGCACTCTACTCAGGGGGATAGCTTGAGGCTCCTATCTCAAAAAAAACAAAAAAATGTTTTGAAGGCATGTTAGAAGCCAGAATAGTATAGGCTAGGGACTACATGAGAAGTCAAGAAAAAGAGACAGGAAGGGTAGTAATTCTTCCAAATGGTTGTGAAATAGATTTATTTATTACACAAACAGTTAACACCAAAGATTCCTTTTTCTTTTAAGTGAGAGAAACTTTAGTATCAATATCTCTGTATGCTGCTAATAGAAAGGGAAAGGCTGAAAATTCAGATGAGCCAAAGAGCAAAGTACAGATCAGGGCAGCAAAGGCAGTGGAATTTAACAGGAAGGACTTTGAGAATTAAGTTGGCAGGAAGATGAAAAAATTCATGCCTCATAATCTTGATTTTCTTTGTGAGAAGTTAGATAAGATCATCTTCATTAAAGGTTTACAGAGAATAAAGAAAATTTAAAACCATTTGTGAAATGGAAGAGGGAACTAGACATAATAAAAAGTAATGGGAGCTCAGGTGCATTTCAGAACCATAAATTTTAGGTACATCAAGCTTACAGTTGTCTGTTTTTTTGTTTCATTTTTGTTTGCAAATATCACCACGAAGGTAAGTCTAGAAGCAAAATAGAGATATGCTTTCAGTGATCCACACATGGCATTTTGCTGTGCAAGATTAATAGGAAGGCAACAGTGAAAGAATGTGAGGGTATCTCTGGGAGCAATGGTGACTAGTGCCAGACCTACAAAATCAGAAACTCAGGCTGTTAGGTTCAATTATCTGTGTTTTAACAAATCCTCTCAGAAATTCTGGTGGGCTAAAGCTTAAGAATTCCTAAGTTAGGAGATCTTATATCAACTTAATATAGAAAAATAAGTAGAGCCAGAGAAGGGGACAGACGTGGCTGACAGAGTAGAAAACTATCAAGTAATAAAAGCATTGCTATTCTAGAGCAGTTAAAAGTTTGATGTTCTATATGAATATAAGAATTGTGAGTTATAATAGGAAAAATGAGGAACTGAGAAGGAAGAAAAAACAGACATCTACAGACAAAGAATAAAACACTGAAAACTTACATCAAATGCTAATGAGACAATATTCAAGGTTGATAATGGGAAAAGATGCTAACGTAGAACAGAAGGGAACTAGATTCAAGTTTAGGCCAGTGGATGTCAAAGAACTGTGAGTCCACTGTATGAGAATAACCATCTCCGTTGATATTGATAACACCCAGAATGATGAAATTTGAACTAGAGAGAAAACAGTACTGCCTAAATCATGAGATGGGAGAAACAGGTGTTAGGAGATGAAAGCAACCATTTGAGGAATGAGGTATATATTATAGGAAGTCAATTCCTAGTATAAAACCCCAAACAGGAGGGAAGGTTACAGAGTCAAATCCAGAGGCTACTTCTTAGGAAGGAGACAGTTTTTTCTTGTTTAATTTAGGGCAAAAATTTTGGTTAATAGAGTTGTCTTTCCCTTCTCTTTTAAGGACCTAAATAAGGCATCCCTCTTATTTAATGTAGAGAAATTATTTTTAACAGGATATGCATTTTATCTTCACAAGGAGACCTAGAGTTAAAACATAATTGACAAAATAACTAAAACTGATCTCTAGTGTTAGAAGTTAGGGAAATGGTTACCTTTGGAGGAAGGGGAGATAGCAGTAATTTGGGGAGAGGGTAAAGAGACTCTGGGAGTGATGTAATATACTATTTTTTGACCTAGGTTTTGATTTTGCACTGTGGTATTTCATTCTATAAGTACATTTATGACTTGTTTACTTTTAATTGTGTAAATAATATTTAATTCGAAAAAATTTTTAAAGTAATTGATTCAGTTACATTTTTATAATTACAGCTAGTTAAAAATCAGAAATCAAGTACGTACATTCCTGATTTAGAGACCACTTAAAGAATTGAGTATTAATAACATTATTTATGTCTCTACAAATATACAAAATAAAATTCCTGATTTGAAAGATATAAAAACAACTCTAAATATTAATAATTATAATTGGGTTCAATATCATTATCAATATATTGATTCTAACACCTTTAGATTTCTTGTAATTCAGACAATTAAGCATCGGGAAAATGGTGCCTTAGGTAAAATCTCAAGTCAAAATTTATTTTATTTTTATTTTTCATTATTATTAGTACATAATAGTTGTATATATTTATAGGTCATGTAATATTTTGACATAGGCTGACAATTTGTAATGATCAAATTAGGGAAACTGGGGTATCCATCACTTCAAGCATTTACCATTTGTGTTAGAAATATTCCGATTCTACCGTCAGTTATCCAAAATTATACCATAAATACTGATAATTACAGTCACCTCATTGTGCTACAGAAGCTTAGATCTTAATCATTCTAACTCTATTTTTAGTACCATTAACCATCCCTACTTTATGTTCCTCCTCCCTCCCTGCTAGCTACCCTTTCTAGTTTCTGCTAACCATCAGTCTACTGTCTTTCTCCATGAGTACAATTTTTTTTTTTAATTTTAGCCTCTACATATGAGAGCATATAAAATTTATCTTTCTGTGCCTGACTTAATTCACTTAATATAATGTCCTCAAGTTTCATCTATGTTGTTGCAAATGACAGGATTTCATTCTTTTTTTGTGACTAATATTCCATTATGCACCGAAATTTCTTATATCCATTCATTTGCTGATGGACACTTAGGTTGATTCCATATCTTGGTTATTATGAACAGAATATTTCTTTGATATAAGTGTTTCCTTTCTTTTGAACGTATGCTCGTATACTTGGTAGTAGAATTGCTTGATCCTATGGTAGTTCTATTTTTAGCTTTTGAGGAAGCTTCATACTATTGTCCATTGTGACTGTACTAATTTACATTCCCACCATACTGTGCAAAGGTTCTCCTTTCTCTACATTCCTTCCAGCATTCAATATTACTTGTCTTTTGAATAAAACCCACTTTAACCGGGGTGAGATGATATTTCATCATAGTTTTGTTTTACATTTTTCTGATGATTAGTGATGTTGAGCTTTTTTTTTTTTTTTGCAGTTTTTGGCCAGGGCTGGGTTTGAACCTGCCACCTTTGGCACATGGGGCCAGTTCCCCACTCCTTTGAGCCATAGGCACTGCCGGATGTTGAACTTTTTTCATAGGCCTGTTGGCCATTTTTATCTCTTTTTCTGAGAAACATCTATTCAGATCTTTTGCCCATTTTTTAAACTGAATTATTTGCTTTTTTCCTATTCACTCATTTGAGTTTTTTGTATATCTTTGTTATTAATTCCTTGTCAGATGGGTATGTTGCAAATATTTTTTCCAATTCTATCGGTTGTTAAAAGGCTTAAAATGAGTAACCTTGCCTTGGACAAAGCAAACACATTCAACAGGTATTAACTAGCTATTTATCTGCACATACACATTATATAAAATATATTTTAGGCTGTATACATTACACATTAACTATCTTAGATCTATTTTACAATTAAACATATTAAACATGTATTTAATAAATTTTCCTCATATGTGCCCTACTCTCCAGTTTAAATTGTGGACATACATCCTTACTCATAAACTGAAGATACCTCTTTCTTTTTTGAACTCAAAGTCAAATGTTCATCTATGTTATGACATATTTTTCACATTAAAAAAGTGACATTTTTATTACCTGAGTCTCCACACCTTGCTCTAGTAGGCGCTTAGCTTGATTTTCCACTTCAAGTCGAGCTCTTGCAATAAAAAGCAGATCATGTTCTATTACTTCTATTCCAGAAAGATCTATTCCTTGAGAAAGATAATCTGTTTAAAAAACACACCAATTTAAATGTTTCAATATTGAATAAATACCAAGGTATCAAAATATCATATAATTTCTTCCAAAAAATACAGATTTGCTATTGAACACAGTTCCCTTTCAAATTTTCTACTTGGGCCAGGCATAGTGACTCACACCAGTAATCCTGGCACATTAGGAGACTGAGGTAGGTGGATTGCTTGAGCTCAGGAGTTTGAGGCCAGCCTGAGCAAGAGTGAGATTCCCATCTCTAAAAATACCCAGGCATTGTGATAGGTGTCTGTAGTCCTAGCTACTTAGGAGGCTGAAGCAAGAGGACTGCTTGAGCCCCAGAGTTTGAGGTTGCTGTGAGGTGACAAAGTGAGATTCGGTCTAAAGAAAAGAAGAAACCAAAATATTTTCTATTTAATAAATAATCTTACTCCGGAACTAAGTGTTCCAAATAAGACAGAGTTGGTAAAATAAGAATAAAAATTATGATTAGAAATTCAAGGCAATGTTAAGAGATTATATAACAACTAGTGTCTAGTTTACTTTAATGTAAATAAACATCTTGATATTTTCAGAAATTTCTCAAGTTGTAAGTACAGTCAGGATTTTGCTTCTTTGGTTTTAAGTTTCCTTATGTTGCCCAGGCTGGAATGCAGTGGCTATTCACAGGTGCTGTCTTACAGCACAGAATTCCTGGGCTCAAGCAATGTTCCTGCTTCAGAGTAGCTGGGGCTATAGGCACATACCACCAGGCCAAGCACACAGTAGCTTTAATTTACTATTATTTTTGAGACAGAGTCTCACTTTGTCACACTTGGTGGACTGCTGTGATGTTATAACTCACAGCAACCTCAAACTCTTAGTCTCAAATGATTCTCTTGCCTCAGCCTCCTGAGTAGTTGAGACTTCAGGTGCCCACCACAACACCCAGCTATTTTTTAGGGACGGGGTCTTGCTCTTGCTCAGGCTGGTCTCAAACCTTTGAGCTCGAGCAATCCGCCCACCTCAGCCTCCCATTGTGCTAGGATTACAAGTATGAACCACCACATCCAGCCTCATGCAAGTAGTTTTAAAAGTTATTCCATAATAAAGTGAGGTGCAGTGGCTCATGCCTGCAATCCTAGCACTCTGGGAGGCCAAAGCAGGATTGATTGTGGTTAGGAGTTTGAGATCAGACTGAGCAAGAGCGAGACCCCATCTCCATGTGCCTGTAATCCCAGTTACTTGGGAGGCTGAGGCAAGAGGATCTCTTGAGCCCTGGAGTTTGAGGTTGTAAGGAACTATGATGACACCACTGCACTATGGCCAAGCAACAGAGCAAGACTTTGTTTCAAAACAAATAAAAAGCCAAAAATGTCCTCTATGGAAAGAAGTATGGAGACTCCTCAAAGAGCTAAAAGTAGACCTTCCATTGATCCCATCATCCCATTATTAGGGATCTACCCAGAACTAAAAAAAATCATATTACCATAAGAACCCACTTGCACTAGAATACTTATCACAACTCAATTCACAACTGCCAAGATGTGAAACCAACCTAAGTGCCCATCAACCCATGAATGTATTAATAAACTGTGGTACATATGTATGCCCTGAAATACTATTCAGCCATAAAAAAGGAGACTTTATATCCTTTGTATTTACCTGAATAAAGTTGAAGAACATTCTCCTTAGTACAGTATCACAAGAATGGAAATCCAAGTACCCAATATGCTCAATACTAATATGACGCCAGTGGATGGACAAGTATAGCCCACACAAGAGAAAAACACAAATGCAAGTTGGGGAGAGCAGAAGGAGGGGGAATGGTCAGCTCTCCCCTAATGAGTGCAATGTAAGGGAAAATGGCACACCTCCTGGGTGAAGGGCTTAATTACAACTTAGACTTTATCTAACAAATGCAAACAATGTAACCTAATCCTTTGTATCCTCATATTGATCTGAAACCAAAAAATAAAATAAAAATAAACTGTTCTCATATTTATCTAATAAAAAAGTCCAACATTTGGAGAATGATTAATAAGTTATGAAACCTTAGTATTTTGCCCTTGCCAGTTTACATGATCACCCATATCTAATATAGTAGTTATTTATGATGAAGGATATTAGTGAGTGAAAGAAAAAATATATGGAGGAATTTACCCTATAGAATTATATATACAAACTTGTATGGCAAGAGGTATAAAAAGATTTGAGTACGATGTTAATAATAGTTATCTTTATAGGTTTAGTATTTGGGTAATTTTTAACTTTTAAATTATTTTTGTATACTTTAGATGTATGTAAGGAATAAAGGTTAAGGTTTAATTAAGGAGTTCAGACACAATTCTACAACTCATATATTCTGTTTTAACAAATTAGTTATAAAATATAAAATTTATTTAGGTAGAAGATGACTTTTAGGTAATAAATATCAAATGTATTTTTCACTTTATTTGCTTAAACTAATATTTTATCTTTATTCTTACTAAACCATACCCTGAACACTCACATACCAGCATAGTTTACTTAAGCTGGACTACAACATACTACCTAGATCAAACTACATTAAAGTATCCAGCACAATGCTAACTAATCACTTAGCAACACTCAAATACCTGCTGATTGAATACTACATGGTTAGTTCTAAATAAGGACAAAAGAAAATAATGCAAAGAGCAGTTAAATAGTAGTTATTGCTAATTGTATGTCAACCACAGCATACAGTTCTTAAAATGTGTGTGTGTGATATGTAAAACCACGCCTCCCAGGTGGTGTGCTGGGCACCGTGACTTACAACTGTAATCCTACCACTCTTAAGAGGCTGAGGCAAGAGGACCCCTTGAGCCCAGTAGTTCATCATATGTTCTTTTTAAATCTATCCTTTTAAAATCTACTCGTGAGTTATTTTATTCTTGTTTTTATTTAAATTATACTATTCATATTAATTTCTTCATTAACATAGAATTAAATATTTACCCACTTTACTGTAAGTTGTTACAAATATCAATTTTTGATAGCTGTCCAATATTCCAGCAAGTGAAATGAACCAAAAATTTATTTAACCTTTTCCTTAAGATGAAATATTTGTTACTAATATAACTACTTTAAATAGCACTGTATATAAAGATATTAAATATCTAGAACTATTTCCTTGGGGAAGAATCAAAGAATGGTTAGATTAAAGCAATACTTTTATGACTCTTTTTTTTTTTTTTT